GAACCAATCCTGTCTGTGTTCTGTGCACATCTAAAATTCCTGCTGAATGACCCGCCCTGGGAGCGAGTTACCAGCGGAAGGAGGGTGCAGGTTGGGTGGGGAGGAGAGAGCCCAGGGCTGGGGCGGCAGGGGGTGTGGGTGGGTGGGTGGGGAGAGCCCAGGGCTGGGGCAGCAGGGGGGTGCGGCAAGGAGCCCAGGGCTGGGACGGGGGGCAGCCAAAATGTTTTTTGCTTGGGGCGGCAAAAAACCTAGAGCCGGCCCTGGGGGGGAGGGGCAGTCGCACACTCACCGTAGTACTGGGTGTTGCCCCAGCCGGTCACAGTGCAGACCTTGCCGTCCAGGAGGGGCTGCCCCAGTGCCGGGAGGCAGACGGGCTGGACGTCCTCTGGGGAGACAGAGCCTGGGCATGAGGCACAGATAAGGGTTGCGCGCCACATGCCCACAAAGCCACACGCTAACACACACAGCCACACACCCACACACAGCCACATGCCCACCACACGCCCGCACAGCCACAAACCCACACACAGCCACACGCCCACACAGCCACACACAGCTACACAGCCACACACGCCCACACACCCACACACAGCCCCACACCCACACACAGCCCCACACCCACACGCCCGCACAGCCACACACCCACACACAGCCACACAGCCATACAGAGCCACACGCCCACACACAGCCACACCCACACACAGCCACACACCCGCAGAGCCATACTCCCACACACAGCCACACGCCCCACACACCCACATAGCCACACGCCCACACACAGCCACATGCCCACCACATGCCCGCACAGCCACAAACCCACACACAGCCACATGCCCACACAGCCACACACAGCTACACAGCCACACACCCACACAGAGCCACACCCACACACAGCCACACGCCCACACCCACACAGCCACACACACCCACACAGCCATACGCCCACACACAGCCACACGCCCCACACACCCACATAGCCACAAGCCCACACACAGCCACACACCCCCACACGCCCACACACACACACAGCCACATGCCCGCACGCCCGCACAGCCCCCCACACAGCCACATGCCCACACACAGCCACACACCCCCACATGCCCACACAGCCACATGCCCACACACAGCCACACGCCCGCACAGCCACACACCCACATGCCCGCACAGCCACACACCCACACGCCTGCACAGCCACTTCCACGCACCCACAAAGCCACACACCCACACAACCACACGCCCGCACAGCCGCACACCCCCACACGCCCACACAGCCCCACACCCACACACAGCCACACGCCCGCACAGCCACACACAGCCACACGCCCGCACAGCCACACCCACACACCCACAAAGCCACACGCACACACACACACAGCCACATGCCCACACACCCACACACAGCCAAACACAGCCACACACACCCACATACCCACACAGCCACACACACCCACACAGATACATGTACAACACACACCTCGCACACCATACACACAACACACATACTACTCGGACACATCGCACTGTGCACGCAGATAAATGCACCACACAGAAAATGCACAACAGACACACACACAAAACCCACAGACACGCCACACACCATACACAGACATCACACACAATGTGCACACACTACAGACACCCCTCACCCACACACAACTGCTCCACACACCCAGAATCACTAACATGCTCACACTCTCACACTGCACCCCACGCACAAAGCCCCATGGGTGCCTCCCCGCAGTGCATGGGGTGACCCCCAGGCTCCCCGCCAGGCGTCCCGCACTCCCAGGCGTCACCGCTCGCCCACACGCACCGGTGAAGCTGAGGGGCGTGGCCAGGTGCACCAGCGCGATGTCGTTGCCGTTCTCCTCGCTGTTGGGGTCCAGGAAGGGCAGGTAGCCCGCGTGGTACACCACACCCGTCACCCCCACCTGCTGCCCCCTGCTGGACACCTGAGAGATGGCGCCAGAGAAAACCCGCCAGCGGCTCACCACCCGGTTTCTCCTGCAGGGATGGACAGACGGACATAGTGCATCAGGGGGCCAGGCGGGGCTGCCACCCCCTCCCCCACCAGGGATGGGACTGCTGCTGAGAGCAGGGGGCAGGGAGGCAGGACTCCTGTGTTCTCTCTCTGGCTCTGCCAGGAGTGTGGGGTCTAGTGGTTAGAGCAGGGGGACTGGGAGCCAGGACTCCTGGGATCTATGCCCAGCTCTGGAAGGGAAGTGGGGTCTTGTGGTTAGAGCAGGGAGGCAGGGCTGAAGGCAGGACTCCTGGGTTCCATCCGCCCTTGGGGCTGGGCACTCACTCAGGGAAGCAGTGTGCGGCAGTGACAACCCACTCGCTGGAGATGATGGAGCCACCGCACAGGTGGGTGCCGTCGTAGCGCAGGCTGACTTGCCACGGCCACTTGCCCAGACTGGCGTCCTGGCCCCCCACGATCCGGTCAACAGACAGCTTCCTACGCCCACAGTCTGCAGGGGACACGCCCGTCAGTGCCAGCCATGCTCCGCCGCAGCCACTAGGGGGAGACAACCAACCCCCCACCCTACCCCCACAGCCACTCCCCCAGCGTGGTCCCAGGGGTAACTCCCCCGACACCCTGACTCCAAAGGAGGTTTCCTGGGTTACTCTGGAGGCCGCATTTTATCCTGGAGCTTCTTCCAGGCTGGCTCTTGTCTGTTTCAACTGGAAATTGCAGGGCCAGGAAGTGCCTGTGCAGGATCTGGCACAA